TGGTGAATTCTTATCTTAACTGGGCTAGGTAATTGCATCGCGTTGCATCTTTGTTCCGAAACGGCTAGGACATTCTGGGTGCCGAAAGATTTACGGTCGGTGGACACGAGGTGTTGGTGCATCGTCGAATCGTTTACCGTTCTAAGCTCGAATCGTAAAATCTGACGACACCTGGAGTGTATACACGGTGTCGTGAAGTGAGGAACAGGTAGTGATTCGAGGTGTAAGGATTAATTGAAATCGTTAAACGGAAGTGTTTTGTGAAGGAAATTATCCTGAAAAAATGTGATTCCAAAGGTTTATTTAAATTATTTTTTTTATAAAAGGCAATGTATGTATCGTCAGTTGGGGTAACTTGGCCACGGTATCTCTGTCTCAAGTCATAAAATAATCATTTTCGATTTTGCAACTCTGAAAATTGTTAAATTAAGTCGAGTTTTAAATGAAAAGGTATTTCACATATAATACCCGGAAAAGAGCTGCAAAATCGAAAGTGATCATTTTCTGACTATTGGACGAAGTTACCCCAACTTACGGTACTTAACACTAGAACTATCGACGATAAACGCATATCTATTTCGATCTGTCCATAAACCTGACAAAGTCCTAAAACTTAACAAATCCATAAATGAACTAATTTCTTTACTTTCATATCGTAATAAAAACTGCAAAAGGCTTTTGAAAATATATTGTTAAACCATTTTAATCATCGTTGTAAGAGTGTATTGACAAGTCATTCTGACTTGCTCGGTAGTTCTAGTGTTAAATCACAAATTATTGTTTATTATATCAGTACCTGTATTGTTCTACACTTTCGTGGAATCACCTTTTAAAAGCACACCATGTGTAGTAACAATTTACCATGGTTCTCCGTTCTTACGTAGTAATTTTAATGTCCCATCCGTGAGACGAGATTACAAGCTCACGATTATCCGCGTGTTCAACGCACTCGGTTCTTCACGAAAAGCTTAACGTTCGAACAGACCATTTCCCGCCAGGGAAAATCATCGAACGTCCCGTAAAACTTGACGAATAGAACGGCGCTTAACGCCACGACGCTAATAAAGCCTTAATATTCTATTCGATCCGTGCGAATAGCTTTACGACCGCGTTGATTCGCCTCTTTATTACGTCGTCCCACCCGTTCACCGTCGTTTCTTCGTTCCACGCTACCGACGAACGATGTTCCGTGATTTTGTTTCCTCGTGGACCTCGAGGTGAACGGCTAAATTCATCCGCTTAATGTGACGAGCTTCTCGAAAAGCCACGTTGCTTCCAATGGAGCCCTGTTACGCCGGAAACACGCCCGGAATGATCTAAAATAAGCGGACAATAAAGAACCGGATAATCTGGATATATATCTGCGTCCTCGACGCGAACGAGAAGTCAGGTTACTAAAAGCAGACGCACGCGGTTTCACGGATACCAGCGTGGTTGGACCGAATATTTGCACCTCGCGTGGCATTCCCGTACGGTTTCGAACAAACGACCACGAGGGTGCACATAAATCTTCACTAATTTTCTCTGGATGTTGCCGATTACCTCGCTGGTCCCACTTGAAATTCCACTTGGGTTCGTAGATCCTAGCACCTATAAAATCAGAATGCTTATCTTCACGTTAGTACACTGGCTGAAGTGTGAGCTCTTATCGAAATGGAGAATCTAATGACTCCAATACTCTCACCTCATGATCGTCAGTTTCGATGACAAACATGTTACTCCACTTTGCATTATATACTATAACACACATTCATTTACGAAGGGTAGTGTACGTTCCTCGAGTCGCATTATTTCACCAAGATCCACACAACGGTCTCGGAAACAAATCGAAACGTGTTCCAGAAGGGCAGATCGTAGGCCCATCGTATATTCCCTTCGTCTGGTTTTATTTGCTCCAAGTAGCATATAAAGGGAGGCGAGAGTAACTTTCGTTCTCGGCCAAGTAGAATGGGCATGGATCGCGCTCGTGCACGCGCGCGCACGCTCGTGCATACGCGCAAAGCCATATGTCATGTCGAGCCCGTTTAATGGCCTTTTAATACTACCTCGCGAGGCGGCACGTATCGTCCCCTTCCCAAGCGGCGAGGAGGTGGCTCTCACCGGTGGTGCCTTTGAATAGGCGCCTCGAAGGTGCGTCTATAAAGGTGGGCCGACGCGGGCCGGGCATAGAGAATCCCGACTCGCGCGGGATTCCTGAGTGTTTGTGTCATCGGTTCGACCGCAACCTCGTAAACTCGAGACATTAAGCCCCGGGCTTTCGGCGACCACGGGGGAAGAACGAGGAATGTAAACCGATCGGTGATGCGCGCGAGTTACGTTCAACCGAAGGGGTAACGAGGGGTGGGAGGTAGGAACCGTGGCTCGCGATACTTTGCGTTTTTATAGCGGCGAGCCGGACGACCTTTCAATGGCATCCCACATAGAAATGTCACGGCAACGGGCGCCATCGTATCCCCCCATGGAATTTTCCTTTCGTGAATCTGGAACGTGCACCCGGTATACCGTGACGAAACTAGGATCGCGATCGACTTACTTTCTGACCGTTTACGCTTCGACGCACAGTTGTCCAGAATGATGTTTTAGTAGTTTAAATTGTAGGACAGTAGACTCGCGATAATTACCCGCATTTGGGGATCTAGGGCCGGGTAGTTCTGGAAACGGGTAATTATCGAGAGTGTATAGCTAATTAATACTTTGACTGTCATGTAAGCCGAATATTGGTGATACGTACATCGCAGGAAGGACTGAATTATTTAAATTCTGGTAGAAAATTTTGTGTAAAATTAATATTGCAGTATAATTTGAAATGAGACCCAGAAACTCCATTAACATATTCAGGACAGGTCGTAATCGTTTAACCGACTGAATGGCTTGGAGAAATGAATTTGAAATGACAGGAACCTTTCGATACTCATTAGAACAGTGCCTTTCACGATTGTCCGAAGAGTTGGGTAAACACAGAATGGCTGGCTCATCGCGGAGCAATCTTCCTGTCGGATACTCGCCGTTGGAAACTAGAATTCCGATCGGGAAATTCCGTGGAGAATACTTTCGGGGGATATTAAATTTTATCCGTCCACGGAGGAAGGGTTTTCTTGTGAAATTTTAAAATTGAAATTCGAACTGAATCGGGGATAATAGTGGTCTGTAAAATTTGAAAGTTTTTTACGGGTTGTAACTAGTTTCTTTGATAGAGAGGGAACAAAGTTTCTGGTCTTCGAATGCGTGTAAAAATTGCGATGAAGGACCGATAATGACGGAAAATATCGCGGAAGTTTCATTGCGGACTCGCTGTGCAATTCAAAGGTATCAAAAAGCGCTTTATACTCGCTGAAGACGCGTAGATATGTCTGTTTATACCGAACGTAAAATATAACCTGTCGTTTTACTGCGACCGTTTTTACACGAACGTGACGATTTAGCTGAGACGTATGTACAGTGGGTAAAAAAAAGATTCGTACATCCTTTAAGAAAAAACAACTTTCTTAAAATTGGAGACTTGAATTTTTTGTGAAGTTAGAAGGATTAGTTTACTAAATGATGTGTCACAAAGATGTTGAAAAAGTTGCAATTCGTCGAAATAACGAAAAAAATAGTGAAGGTTTTTACAAGTTTTTTTATCGGAGACTACAATGAAGATGTAATAAATATATTTCTTAAATTTATGTTAAGAATTGTTAGAACTGAAAACATTTTGAAAGGATCTTGGAATCGACGAGGCATGAAATATAATTTATTGCAATCAGCAATCGCCTACCACCAGGGAGATAAATTTAAATGTAAGGTACACATGATTCAAAAAAGTATACGTAGTACTTTATTCCTGCCACTATTGCATAAAATTCTGTTTGTAGGTAACGTCGGTCGTGACACTGAAATGGTATAGCTGAGTAAAAAATAGATTGTACGTGAGGTCTATCCTGTGTGCAATATTTTCCACAGGCAAGGCAATCAAAAAAATACATTCTATAAAGTCATGTTTATTCTATTTCTCCACTCTGGTCGAATACTCGATTCGTATCGACGATTGAGAACTAGATTCTGTCGCTACCTTACCGATCAAAGTTGCAGATGCCTTCGGTATTGCGTAGGAGATAGCAGCACTCTACTCGGATCATCGGATCAGAAAATTATTGCACCTGTCTCTCTGTGTAGTAAAAACGAATAAGGACAGGAGAATTATAGGTGTCATCGACCGCGAAACGATTGTTAAAAAATCCCGCATAGACGTCCTACGATGATCTCATTCGCGATGGATTTTCAAACGATCGATATACATTTTTTTTTCTTCCTGTCCAAAGCGAGGAAAAGTGACGATACACGGCCGAAGATAGCTTAAACCGGATAAACCAGAATGCCTACGAGATCGTGAAATTCCTTTTACGATGCTGTTTTACACCCCTGCAAAGACAAAACGAAGTTTTTATAGTTCAATTCGAAACACCAGTAGTTTCTACGGTGTCCCAACGTTCTCGTTTCATTCCCCTTTTTTTCTATCTGTATCCATCTCTCCTCAGCCAGTCTTTCAGGCGTCAATTTAATCAAGCCTTATTATTCAATGCAATTCGCGTATTTCACGACGTTGATACATACAACGATCAGTCGATACTTCCGGCGATGTTATTTACGGTCGATTCCCCCCGGATCATGTTAACGAGTCCCTGCGTTAAACGGAAGCTATCAGTCGCGGTTACAATCGATGCCGTCCATGCGCAAGGTGTGACGAAACGTGAGTATAGAAGGTGAAGTGATCGCGTGAAAATAAAATATAAAGAACGTTCAAATATATATGTACTGTACTCGAGAAATTTTTATCACGTTAAAGGTGACATTTTGCTGGCTTTTTTATTTAGGTGCATGAACGAATAATTTGTTATTCTTTTAAAAAAACTGGCGGTACAGGGCGAGAGGTATGCTTGAATAAAGTTATATCTTCGTTTAAGTTGGAGATCGATGAATTTTATTTACACATGCGAACCCAGTAACCTACGAACGCTATACATTGTAATCGGTACCTAAACGTAATGGAAAATTCATAACACACTCGTATTGTTTATTGCATTCGATTTCTATGGCATTTTCACTTGTCATCGGAGCTCGAGGTTCTAATCACAGGTATAAAACCGTAAGGAGGTGTACAGCCTCTGGTACTGTCTTCTCCGCTTCTGTTCGATGATCCTTTCCTTCGTCTCACAGGTTTCGGTGCGCTACTGCACTGCACGATGAACTTTAATTCGGCCATTAGTTCCTCTTTGAATGAAACCTACGCAGTAATAACATAAATCATTAATCTTTTGGTAATGCTGACGCTAATTCGGAACTATAGTGATTGGAGGATATCATAATTATTATATTAATTAACTACATAAATGTTCCATGAGCCTTAAGTATTCATTGCTTCACAGCGGTACGATTTCAAATTAAGATCTCTTCACTATTACCTTATTTATATCCATTGCTTTCCGTAATCCCAAAGAATGAAGTCAGTTAATTAACCAATTCTTTAGATAACGTTGCACACAAAACCTTCATAAATTTTATAAATTTTTAAAAAGTGTCTATACGTTCGTAGCTCCTATAGAGTTCAAGCCAAATAATAAATTTTATTTTACTTTCTGGGCTCCATGGGACAAAATGAGCATTCTAAATTGTTGTCTAAATACATAATACATACGTTCTCGCGTCTGGATGTAGCGGTAACTTCCCAAAGTAGCTCGATTATAGTGTAAAAGAAAGAGGAGGCGACGCCTACGCTCAACACCAAGAAAACGCCTCCCACGTTATCGAGACCCAGTTCCTCGGCTTGGCTACCACCTCCGTCCTCCTGCGAACCGTTTTATCGATGAGTTTCCGACCTCTATATTGTAATGTCATTCGTTCCATTTGAATTTTTTCCAGCCGTTACATACCCGACACTTCCCACCACCTCGTTTCTGCGTCCACCATTTCGTCTTCAGCTCTGTGATCAAACCGCTCTGCTGTAGCTTCAACACAGCAGTGTTTAATGCATGACGATAGGGAGAATCTGAAACAAAAGAAGCAATAGGTTACCCTCAGTATGAGTACTGAGTACGTAAGAAAAACATTTTTAATTCGGACCAGTTGAAAAAATTACTTACACTTTTTCATGGCGATACCGTAACTCTTGGCGTCGAGAAGTCCGCCGATCTGAGTCACGTTGCAGTATCTCTCTGTGATGTACTCGATCGAGCTGGACTCCATCAGGAACGCGTACTCCTCCCTGAGCACTTTCTTCAGTCCTGAGTCGTTGTCCCCTGGCAGAAGCTCATCCTTGTTCGCGATCATGTAATCGTACATCTCCTTGTACGTCGGGTAATTGGAATCCTTGGAATGGGCATAATTCTTTGAAAAAATTGAATTAGAACGAACGGCTCCAAGTATCAACTGCCTAATCCGTGAAATACAACCGACACGTTAGTAAAATAATCATGGAAATGCGTGAATTCGGGGTTACATCCTCGATCGACTGTAATGATAATTAATGCGATGCAGCATCGAGTTTAGTATTTTGTTATAGAAATGTGTAGTATGAACAACTGGATACGTTGAACCTGTATACATTAAGTGTCTCGTGCATCGTAGATGGAAAATGGTATCTATCGAAGAGACATTTTCAACTAAATTGCTTTCTATTTGGGACGGTATTACTTGTTTTAAAGTATAAATTCAAGCACTACTTGAAGCTGGATACACACATGAATAGTAGCTTCTCAATGTTAAATGTACTAATTTATTTATTTGTGATATGTTTTTCTTCCAAACTGCGTTGTAGCAAATACTCGCTTGAACAAATCTATGTGAGATATCACCATATTTTGGATTGGCCATAACTTTGGATCGATTTCTAATAGATTGGTAGGTCTGAAACCGAACATTGACCATGTAGTCACATATACGTGGACATATTAGATAGAATCAAGTTTAGTACCGATATTCGAATTAAGCTTGAATCCAAAGCTATCGGCAACGACCTATTTGTGAATCCAGCGTAAGACTACAAACTCCTGTTCTTGCATAAGACCTGGAGAACTACTGATCTATTACTGATCAGGCTGGGATTGAATGATCTACTTGATAGATTTTCTAGTAAATATTACAGGATTACGGTTACTTTATCGCCTGAGAGATGTTTCATTTCATTCTATTAAGAAATATGGATATCTATACGTCGAATTCCATACTTCTGCTTTTAACACATGCAAGGAGTCTATACTCGTTTCTATTGTAATTGCAGGTATAAATTAACATTTTATTATTATTAATTACAAATTATTATGGTACCTCTCAGACGATTCGTTGGCAATAAAATCTTGTAGGGTCGGTTAATATACGAGGATTAACTAAAGCATCTGTATTAATCGTTTCATTTTTTAATTTACTCGAGCTAAGAGGGTACTAAAGCAACGAAATTAAAACTCGTAAATATCTCTTACATTTCAAACAAGAACATCGGGGTGCTGTAATGTCCTGTAAAATTCGTCACTACTGACAACTACGTTAATCGTTCTTCACGTACACGATATTCGCCGATTGTTTCGCGACATTCACAGCACGCACGATAAAACACTCACTTGGAAGAACTTAATTGTAGATCCTCCGCTTTTCGCGCCGTACTTAATCGTCTTCTTTTTTGCTAATTCTTCGACGTTCGAGAACGGCGATACCACTGTCTCAACCGTCAAGAACGCGGCTAGATTGGCAGTGTAAGATGATACCATGATCATACAGAAGAACCACCAGGATGTAGCCATCATTCGTGTCGACAGTCCTCTGTTAATCATAAAAATATTATTCGTATTGTACTATATTTAACTTTTTTAAAGTAAAAGTATTAAAGTACTTATAAACTGCGAACAAGGCAGACTATGTTACTTTGTAAGTAACTGTTGACTACTCTACGAATACTTCTGTGCCTGACTAATTTGATATCTATTATAATAAACGTGATTTTGTAGGTTAATGTAACACACTGTGAAGTGAAAAGTTCACAAAGAAATGGGACTCACATAGGCGCGATTTCGGAACCTTGCTGCATAATACTACCAATCGTGAACCACAGGGAATTCTTGAAAGTGAACTGATTCTCAAGCTCTTCTGGCTCCTCTATGCACGGATAGGGGTTGTTCCATTCGGCCGGGCACATTCTACCGATCACGAATATCATCAGCGAGACGGATATGTAAGCTCCGATCAGATACCACCAGACACCGGCCGAGAATGGTGATAAGAAAGAGAACAGACTGGGCGGTGTTTTCATTGGCTTTCGATACAAAATACTTATTCCTGAAACACCGAAGACAAAAGTAATTACTGTTAATATAATCATATTATTAATCTACAGGATGTTAATAAAATTGTGGAACATTTTTACAAGGTAGATTCTACACGTCAAACTAAAACGAAAATCAAGAATAACGAAAGTGCGTTCGTTTCTTTTTCAATGAAATGTAAAACTTGTCTACAACGCATTGTTCCATTGATGTTAACAAAAGGGAAACTAATGAGAACAATTTATTTTGCATTATAAAAAATCGTACCTAAATTCATGAAAGGCATCGTAAAATCCACCGCCCCTTCTCGATCCGATGTAATCGTTAGGTCGGTGATAGCTAGATCAGCTTCCTGGAACATAAATTTCACCGGATATTACAATTTTATTTCTGTTGATCCAATCGCGGGTATAGCATGTATAATGGACACTCTAACTCACACCGCGAATGATCTTCCCAAGCATTCCTGTCCATTTCTTTGTCTTCTTCGACAAAGATCCGTACACATTGTCGCTTTGCACCTCGAACGTGTAATTAAAACCGAGCATCTTGCTCAGCTCCTGAATAATATCGATGCCGAATCCTTCGTAACGGTCGTTTCCGGTCATCATGTCCGCGGATTCCTTCAGCATACCGTAGGGATGACTCTGGAGGCAACAGAAACAGCGTTTAGAAAAAATGTTCATTCCTCGATATGATTCTATCTTTTTCAGAGGTAGTCTGTTAAAGAATCAGAACACTATTTTGGGATTTGAACAGAGAATGCAATTCTGAGCTAAAGAAAGATATTCCAAACTTTCGAACGATACTGTACTGCGTGGCATAACTATAAAACCACCCTAAAATTTATAATCCTTACGTATTGTGGTGAAAATAAAAACGAACTTTTTTCTAGGGAATACATATAATCTATCCTTTTCTGCAGAAACATTATTTCTTAACACGATCTCAGACATAGCCCACTTCGTTTATTTTTATTTTGACAACAATACCTAAGAATGGAAATCTTTGGGGTAGTTTTATAGTTATGCCACGCAGTTATATACACACGATTGTAAATAGAAATGTTATTAAGAACTAATAACGTTGTGAACACTTATTCACAAAGATATGTTTAAATTAGATCTACTAGCAGCATCGTTATTTTATTTTATTTAGGGCCTGATTTATCGTGTGCAGTATAGATATAATTAATATTAATACATCGATACTTTTAGCTAAAATTTGACTGTCTATCGTATCCAAGGCCAGTGTATATCTCTCTATTCTCGGGCACCCAGTACAAACTTTCCCCTTATTCATTCCCTCCTCTGCAAAGCTTTCTAGCGAAATTGAAAGAAGGCTCGAAAAATGCTCGAAGATGTTTTCACATTTCATTCCGACACGTACGATAGCTATTAGGACGATGAACGTTCTATTCTGCAGATTGAACTCCATGTCTGACTTCGCGAGACGGGTTTCCGGCAGCCATTCGACGCTGTTCGTGCTGTTCCACATTCCGATCTTCTTCAAGCCGTCTTCCGTCACGCGCACCACGTCCAACTGGAAATCGCTGCGGAACCCGGCCGTGTCGAACTTAATCAAACCGGTCAAACCTTCCATTTCGCTCTGAAAGTTGTAATCAACGGGAATTACAGTGGGGACATTTGCATACATCGTCATAATTCAGTGTCAATGCTAACGACATTGAGTTCCGTTCAGTCAGTTTGACACCCTGCTAGATCTATGTCTTGATTCTGATTCCATTTCTTTGAATTTGTACAAGAATGTATTCTCTGTATTTCTGGAAGGAACTGAGAATTCTTTGTCACAGTCGATTCTTCTATTTTGTAAAAGAAACGACAATTTTATGAAGGTAACTTTCGTAAAAATGAACATTGCTAAGTTTGAGGGTCGGTAGTTTTTAAACAGTTTTGAAACCAGCGAAATGATTACATAAACTACCCTTATTTTAACGTGATCCATAATGTACTTCAATTTAAGCAAAATCCTAGACATCGTGTTCAAATGTGATCCACTTGGCGTGGAATGACCCGTATGTAAAGGGATATTGTCTTTAGGGTATTGGGGTATAGGTAATAGGGTATTGTTAATAGAATGAAATGGAATGAATAATATTAATTCCATGGATGTGAAGAACTTACGAGTCGCATAAAGTTGGCCAAACTGTATCCATGCTCCCAACTTAAACTGCCATTGCAGGATAATTGTTTCACATCACCCTTAATGGCGTCTTTCAGACGCTTAAATGCCCTCGCGAAAAGTTGCACAGCATCGTACATGAGGGCAGGCTCGACCCGGAGCTGCGAAGCATCGTCTAAACCCCATTCATTTTTGTGCATCTCCACAATGTTCGTCACGATGGGATTTTCCGGATCGATCAGTCTGACCCCGGTGAAATTAACCCCGGAAAATTGGTACGGCTCTAGATCGATCGTTTGAAGATCCTGAAACAATAGAATCGTTCATTTCTTGAACGTTCTTCAAAATGATACGTGAACAAAATTTCTGTTAGTCAATTGTTAAGTGTATCAATGAATATTGTACTGTTTCTTTTTTTAATAAGGTAAGAATACAATTTAAGGGTATTATGTTTTCACGCTTCTTCTTGGAAAAACTGATGTTGATTTTATGGAGGGCAAGGAAACGATTGTACATTTTCCAATTTTTTGCAATTAAGTGTATTCGACATTTAAACTATATACTGATGGTTCAATTCTAATTGAAAAACAAACGTTGTTCACCTAATTTGACATAAACCAGTAGTGAATATAAAGGAAAATTCGCGAAAGTTCTGTTAGCAGTATTTCTGCTCTTTAAGCAGCGTGTAAGAAAACATTTTACCAGAGATGTCACTATGACTCTGTTCTTCTCCGACATAATGCCAACTTGCTGCGCTTGTCTCAGCACTTCCGACAAAATTTCGACGGAGCAATCGATCACGATGTTCTCAATTTCCGCGTCTTTCATCTCGCGCATCACCTTCCTGGAAAGTATTCGACATCGTGTTGTAGGATTAACAACTGTTTCCTTCAGAAGAACATTGAATATCGTCGGATCAAACTTAATCGACGACTCAGAACCATTGTTACCATATCAAATTATTTATATTTTAACATCGTACAAGCGTTCAAGCTTGTTTGGTAGTTATAGAATCGGTATTTATCAATATCCATGAATTTTAAATAGGCAAAGTTAACTATTGGGTTAACCAAAAAGTAATGTCGGATTTCTGTGGTAGATCAAACATTCTTTTTCAAACTTTAAATTATAGAATTTTTTTAAACGACGCATTAAAGTGTCAACTTTCATATGTAATGTATGTACATTTTATTAGTTAGCATGTGCTGCAAAAAATGTGACATTCCTCTTTGGCCAACCCAATATATTGGACAGAAAAAATGATTTTGAACAGTCAATTAAATTTGATGTGATTGCGGTTGTTTTTTATAACTTCTGCAGCCTTTCGTAATTTATTTGTATCATATTGCACTGAAACAAAATTTGTTTATGTTATATGCTTGCACCTGTAACTGGGACCACTCCCCAACTCGTACAAAAAGAATGTATGGCCACGAGCATCCCACCGTTCCAGTATACGGTGAGTTCGTATCAAGCTATCCGTGTTCTCATATAATATTGCAAACGATTTCCATTCGAAGTCGCTGATCATTTGATCGAAAACCTGATAACACATGCAATATTCCATTTAAAAATATTCATCGATATGCTGTATACTGGGCGGATAATTTTACTGGTTTGTTCAACATTATCAATACTCTACAAAGCTCAAGTTCTAGATTACTATTAAATCAACGCTATGTTAAGGAATTAAAAAAAAAAACAATAAATTTCAGTCATAATTCCCACAATCAAGATAATTTGTAAATATAATTAGCGACGGTGAATATCTACAAGAACAGAATTAATCATTACTAGACTGCAGATTTTTATGTAAAATGACATTTTCAAAAGTAATTCTATAAAGGCAAAAGCAAATATAGAAATTTGTTTCCTCCTTTAAATATCTTATTAGGTCAATAATAAAATAGTAAACTTGTTGGATCTAATGAAAGTTTTGCTTTTTTATTGTACTCGATAGAACCGCATAGACTATAAATGCATAAAATCCACAGTCTAGTTACTAACTCTGTCTACGTGAGAGTAACTCCCAAGACTAGTTCTCACGCTTGTATCCACTTAAAAGTAACATTCCTACAAGTTATACTCAAAGAAAGATAATCTAAAGAATAGACGTGGTATCCATTGGGGATGAAAGTTTCGGAGAATTACTTTTAAGCTTTTATGCATTAACAGCTTTTATTCTCACAAGGAAAAGCACAGAAGTGTCCCTCTCCGATTTTGATGAAACTTCGTATGTTTGTTAAGCAGTGAAAAATAAGGGATACGTATTTTTTTTTATCGGCTGAGACACGACTTTAAAGGATGGAACCACCCCTCGAAATTTCGACCCGAAAGTACTATCTCGAAAACCAGAGAAGATACAAGAAAACTTCTAATGGACGAGGTTTGCGGTTTTTTATGTGGAGTAATATGGTGCTAACAAATTGCCCAAAATATAATTTATTTATAACGAAAAAATTTCGGAACGAAATTTCGTGGAGTGGTTTCACTCCTTAAAGTCGCGTCTCAGCCGATAAAAAAAAATACGTATCTCTTATTTTTGACTGCTTAACAAACATACGAAGTTTTATCTAAATCGTAGAAGGACACTTCCGCGCCTTCCCTTGTCAGAGCAAACTTTCAAATGGAAAGGTAGCTTTAATCTTGAACAAACAATACTTCCAACGAATTTTCCGTCGAATGTAATGAAGCATCAGGTTCTACATACCGCCGAAAGGGTTTCCGCGTGGGGGTACAAGTTTATTCCCCTACCACGCGTCTGCGAGTGCTCCCATCTCGCATAAATATGTGGCATTTCCATGGTGTCGCACATACTCTGCACGTGTTCCGAGCTGATTCTATTCTGAGGCCCGAAAATCCCGGCCACTCCCGTGCCCATCAATTCGCAGACTGAACATTTCAAAGGAGGAAATCGGATTGAAAGCGTTTCCCGCGAAATGCACGCCATAATGCAAACCCTCAGACGCGTGTCTCTCGCCCAACTCTCTATGTACACACATATACCTTTTCGCGACACTTGAAACGGCTCCATTTCGACCTGGCTGGATTCGGCGACGAGAAAAACATTCGCGAATTCTGGATTCTCGTGACGTTCTTTGTTCACCGTTTTCACAGACGTCTCGAAGGCGCGCTGGATCTCCTCGCCATTGTCGAACAGCCCTCCTGAAAGTATCACGTATGAACACCTTTTCTGATTCTCGACGTATGATGTTTAAATTGCAGATTTTAAGTATTGTATTGATGACGAGTACGAGAGCGCTAATCGCGATAAAATGAAAACTCGGAGGAAAATTTCACGATTTTTCAGAGTTATGTCAAAAGTGTGTACAACTGTAACAAGATTAATTGTTGAAGGTACTTACCTATGTGAACCTTCTTGGGAAATCCTAGGGCGCAGGAGAAGAAGATCAATGGGAGACACTTGACCAGCATCTTAAAGTCATTCTATGTATACAAAACAACAACGACCTACATTAAACAAGTGAATGTTAAAAAAAGTTTTTAATGATGGAAACTGATCACTGACAATTGGTGAATCTAGCTGTATTAGTTGAGAATTGAGAAGAACACAACTTTTGCACAGTTGTCACGGGTTGACACTCGAAATTTCATAGAACTAAAAGTATCAGTAGTATTATAGAATTGAAATCAAGCATTAGACTGGAAGCTCGATGTTTTATAATTCTGTTTGAGAATCGATTTGAAAAAGGGTACATTTCTGTTTCTCAAGATAAGAATTTATAAAAATGTACACCACACACTCCCAAACCCTTTCACGAATTGATTCGAATCCTAGAAACTTCAGGAACCTATTTAGTTCTATATGAAATCAGTATATCAAATCTACGTTCATTGCCATTTAACACTGAACCTACCACGACCAGGTAAATGATCGGTTTTCGTCGTCGTAATTCCTGCCTTTTTAAAGATTTCAGTAGGTTTAGTGTTCAGGCAAACGTCAAACATTTTCAAACCTTCAACCACCTCCCTGTATCTTTCAGTGATTAAAATAAATATACAATTCTGTGTTTCGGCTGCCGAGATTCACAGCAAGTCGGAGGACCGAATTTCGACGTCAAACGTCCTCGACAGACCGGCAATTTAACACGATCGATCGAGATCGACGAATCGACCGGCATATAAAGCTGGCCGTTGAAGCATGATTAACTTCAAAGGCGAACCGGCGAACAGGCTGGCGCAGATTTATTTGCAATAAGATCCCGTTGCGTGCGTATTCAGCACGAACCGTTCAAACAGGCTGCTGGGATTCAAACGAGCACTTAACCGTGCGACGTTGTGTAAACCGAACGGGAAGCATTACACGCTCGAATTCTCGGCAGGCGTAAATATTTAGCCTCGTCTAAAATCAATCCTCCAATATTGAGTCCGGCTATTTATTTGAAGCTACCGAAGGGGATGCTTCGAGACCTGTCAGATTCTCGTTCGACATCTTAAAACCGTTTACTTCTTCTTCTTCTTCTTCTTCTTCTCCCGACGAGAGAAAAATGCTGCCAGAGAACTGTTCGATTTCTGGACAACCGAACGTGGAACGTTTGTTCAGGGGACAGACGAAAAACCGTCCGCGAGTAAAAATAACATTTCCGGCGCCGAGACGGGAAACGAGCTCGTTAATGAACTCGACGTTCCTTGGATTAATGTTTTTCGTTAAAGTAGAATCAAAGTGTCTTATCGCGGCTGTTACAGAACTCGGATGGCTACGATCTTCGTACACATTATAGTCGTCTCTGGAAATTAATTCAAGACCAATCGTATTTAATGTAACATTTCGCCAAAATTCTGATAAAATAAATACTGAACACGCTGGTGAATTTGGAATAAATGACGAAAGAAACAGAAGAACATATTGTCTAATGGAAATTCGTGCCAAATGATATCTTAGGATGAGACATCGATCACAACGAACTTTTAAATTGACCCGACAATTAGTATTCGAGATATAAAAGGTGAAAGAAATCAAAATTCATTTGTATGTCAATCCAATAATGTAAAAAATCGTTCCCAGGGATTTTGCTAATTCCTAACAACGAACTGGAAATTAAATTTTCAAAATTCACATTAAAAAAACACCTAATACACGGTCATTTATTTTCCCTGAATTTGATTTTTGGAAATAGTCATGGTTACATTACATGTATCAGGATTGGGTACATACACCCCATGGATGTTGACCATAACTTGAAAATTTCTTCTGACCGATGTCTCCATCATAAGTTATCATTTCGCATATAATTCAGTTCCAAAATCATGGAACCAAAAACGTAGAATTTTGCAGGGTCATTCTATAGCCAGCGGATTTGCATTCAAAACAATTCCCAACGCGTCCGAATGGAAGAAGGAAGGCTGCCATTAGGCCGTTCAGCGTTATGACACGGGGGAAAACCACCTATCAAACGTCGTTCTCCAATTGACATTTTGGCAGAGGCGATAAATGCACGAGATCTCAGTCTGCGCAGTGACAGGATAATTTTGGTGGTGACGATCGCCCCGAGCGACACACGGACCACGCGATTTTCAGAATGCATTCAGTGTCTCGCGGAGGCGGACTGTCACCTTGCCAAACGCACGCGTTCTTTCTTTTTTTTCCCGCTTCATTCATCCATCCGTCCCGCGAGATTCGACGTTTCCCGCGTTAACGCCGCCGCGTACACGTCGTCGACAAGGGAGGAATTCGGGCGTCGCGACGACGACGCGTGTACGGTGTCAACGTGCCATATTCGGACGGTCGATGGCTTTGAAAAACCGACGAAAATCTTTGGAGTGCGCGTAACGACCGCGATATATTTAGACGGGCCAAGCACAGCGTGTGCGTCGCCAGTGGCGCTTGTCGCTTATAAGCCCCTGTGACATAGTTCCCGGTGAATTGCAATTAACGACGCCCACTGGACGGGGCACTTGTATATCGGTGCCTCGTTTTTATTAATTATTCGCGGCTTCCAAGAAGCAAAACCGTCACGTGTCGCGTTCCTCCCGTTCCTTGAATTTCTGTGTTGCATTTTATTAAAAAAAAAAACAATTATATTCTGGGAAATGTACTATGATATCGAAACGTGACATTAATTTTTCTGGGACTGTTCAAAAGTGATCTCGAATGTTTGTGTCTATATGTTGGTTTCCATTTTTAACTAGTTCAAGAAGTTACGAATATTTTTCTTTCAATTGGTCCGTGTGGATGAATTTATGAGAAGGGTTTTGTGATGTTAATTTTGTTACTGGTGTCTTTGGAGGATTTTGAATGTAGTAGATTCGATAAATGTGTCTTGGTTTCTTGCTCGATACGAGAGTTTTCAGCGTAACGGCCGGATGCGTTAAAGGGGAGCAAAGCAGCGAGAGAGGCGTCCGTGCGGCGAGCAGTAAAGGTGCAGGAACTTACCTAAAATTACAATTACACACGGCTTGGTACCTGGAACAGAAGTTTTGATAAACGTGCTTTTCGGAACGAACGTCGCGGCATGCACTTTAATTCCGAACGGCACTTCGCGGAGTGGCTTTTTCACTGCGCACACGCGGCCTCCCTTCCAAGACTGTTGGATCCGTTTGTACACCGTAACATGGCGGGCAACTCTGGCGCGGACTCGACTTATTGTTAGACTCGCCGTCGGCGTCTATTCGACGACATGTGGATCGTATAGATGTTTCGTAGGTACTGAATGTTTCATTCATTTCTGACACTTCCTTCGTAATATTTGCAAGCTTCTAGATTTTCTTAAAGACATATAGAATTTTTCTTCTTATCTTGTTTTTTATTATCATTTATTATTTCGAGCTACAGGGTTGTAGCTGCTCCTGAACTTGAATGGTATAAACGTATCGCACGTATTAAATGTTTCATTCATATTTTATACATTCTTCATGTATTCGCTTACTTCGAATTTTTTCTGAAGACATACGTAGAGGTTCTTTTTATCTTGCCTTCTATTAATTTCTTTCATTTCGAGCTACAGGGTTGTAGCTACTTCTGAACTTGAATCGTATAAACGTATCGCACGTATTAGATGTTTAATTGATTTCTTACACTTCTTTCAAATATTTACAAGCTTCGATGTTTTTCTAAAGACATATATAATTTTTCTTCGTACCTTGTTTTCTATTAACTTCCTTTGTTTCAAGCTACAGGACTGCAGTTGCTTTTGACCTTTAATCGTGTAGACGTCTCGTACATATTAAATAATTTCAGTAATTTCTTGTACTGTCTCCATATATTTACAAGCTTTAAAGTGTTTCTAAAGACTTATGAAACTGTTCTTCGTATTTAGGACTCGAATCACTTATTGTATCTTTTTCGAGCTACAAGACTGTAGCTTGCTCCTGAACTTGAATATTCATCTGTTTCACTTTTTAAAGATCATCTGTATACCCAGAATGATGATATTTCATTCATTCTTTGTTACCTTTTCCTTCTGTATCACGGAAGCTCGTTCTGCACACGGAACTCAGATTAGAAGAATTTATGGAAACGACAGTGCAGTTAACGGCACGCTGTAAAGCGTTGTTATTCTTCCCATAAAGGCGCGGTACGCGACAAGAACGCGACGTAAAACCAAGATGGACGACTATTACCTTCGACACTATGTTCAGCTTATTCGGGAAGTAAAATTGTCGTTTACACGCATTCCTTTTCGTGACAACAATTTCGAGGAACGAGTCGTTTCTTTCGCACTTCGTTACGTTGTTTTCATTAAAGAGGAGCTTTTATTAAAAGAAACTCTTCGAATTATTACAATTGATGCATACTGACAGGAAAGAAAATTATACAATTGATCATATGTGCAATTTAGATATATTCCAGCATCTTAACTCCCATCCATTCCTCGGTTTCCCAATTTAATTTGTCCCTCGTTGTCAAATGGACATGGTGAAAAAAATACGGATGAAAAAAATACGTCTGTTAAATATCGATATTTTCGTCTTCGAAATAACAAGATACAACATACATATCAATATCAAAACTTTAAATTAAGCTGTAAGAGTTTTGGGCGCTAAAGGGTTAAATCCCAGCGAATTGGTAATACTCTACTTATCTCGATGGTATAGAATATAAATTCCTAAATCTTAAGATTCTTCATGAAAATTCACTTACTTATCTGTCTGTGTTAAATTGGAACCTCCTTTGCCACGGTACACCTTAATCCGTGTTCCCAGTTAGAAGTTGTTCTTCGTGCACGAGTTCGTTTAGCTTGCTCGTTTTCCCCCCAAAGAATCGAGTCGATGAATGAAAGGGGAAGAGGCACGGGTGGTTGAACGTGTATGGGATCAAGATATGTAGATCAGCGAGCCGAGATAGGAGGACGTAAGGAAGAAAAGCATCAGGAAGCGCCGTCGGGGAAGAGACCGAGCAAAGTAAATTAAATGGTTACGTTCGTGGGGTCCAAAGAGAACGGCAAGACCCGTGGAAGTTGGATACATTAGTGAATTAGTTACGTTAGCGGTTTGGGATTTAGTTCTCTAATCAAGGGAACGAAGAGTGAAGGCTGCGGCAATTGATGTAAAAGTAGAACTTCCCGGGGACCAATTACGCGCGCGCGGCGGCCTGGCCGCTGTGGCTGAACGTAGAGAAGTTCTCTGTCGTAATCAACGAGGGGATTATGGCCGCGCGTTAAGTACATTACGCCTGGAATAATTTTCTGTTTAAACGAAAGAACCCTCGACAGCCGGCAATTAATCACAGAACGCATGGAAAGCGTCTGTAAAGCTGCCACCGGGGGAATCCTGGGGGATTATCGTGTAACAGGATCTAACGAATAATTCGGGTAATTAAAGTATCAAGGGAAATGAAATATAACCGTATAATTTATTAATTAACAAACCTTTCGATGATTTTTATAGTACAGTTCGTTGTATCTTGTTTGAGGTTTTAAATGGTCCTTCGTTAATATTTGAGCGTTTGACGGTGATGAATATTCAGTTTAGGAATTGGTTTACCAAGTATGCATTATGTGAAAAGAAACGATTGTTAAGGAATGTGGGGAAAAAATAAAATAACATTTAGTTTTTAGTAGAAAGTTAAGACTTTCTTCAGTCATGTTTTAAAAAATTAAAAATGAACTTTGCAGTTATTTGAATAGAAGAAGGTAGCAGATGGCCTTTGTAGCAATTATGTTGGAAAGAATTTATAAAATGTATGTACCCTTTGAACAAAATGATGAAAACTGAAATACGAATATTTGTGTTCGGAATGGTGTACTGTGTCCACTGAAATGTAGAAAAATTACGGATATTTATTGCGATAATTGCTTTTGTATCTACGATCTTGAAACAGGGAGTTGTTAAATCACAGAAAAATGAGGAAGGAAGGATATAACATATGTAATATATGTACATTTCAACTAAGGGGGTAGTATATGTGTTTATCCACACAACTAAACAAAGCATAAAGTATTTCCCCGTAAAATTATAGAGTAGGCTCAGCAGATATGTACATACATGCATAAACAGAGTGTGAATGAAACAAGGATCACACGTTCAATGAGAATTTACAGACGATGAGTTTATTCACGTTTAATATGATGCTCGTGGTACACTTTACGTAAGAAGTATAATCAATAGGCTCTTAACAAACTCGTGTTACGACGTAAACGCGACGTGTGTACGCGATACAGACAGTATTTACAATAACGTGTTTAATACGCACACGGTATGTCGTTTTAACGTGGATTCTCAGCGTTTTGTACGTTTACGGTTTCGGATCGGGTGTTCCGTCCGTTGCCACGCCGACAAGGTAAATGTTTAGACGAGAGTAAAAAACGACGGAAGATTCGTGGGAAAACGACGATGCATCATTAAACACACACGGGGATGTTCGTGTCGTGACGATGACGGTCGAGCATTCGGAACGTTCGAACATATCTCGGAGAGGCTAATTGGATCACGCTGATCTATCTACGCCCGGAAATCGATCGATCGAGGCTAAAACACTTCTGGCACGTTACGAGTTTCACGAAGTGTTTACGCCTTGAGAGAAGGAAGACGGAACTTAATACTGCTCAGTTCGTGGCGTTAGTCGGTAGAAACGTTGCTACCGGCTGCAAATAGGCTTTCTGTTAATTCTGTTAATTCGTTGGCTGGCCCAATCCTTCGAGCGTGGGACGCTTCGAAGAGGAAAGCTGGAAGACTACATTCGTCACTGTAGCAGACTATTACAGGCAGCTGACAAAGGACATTATTGATTTTTCACTTTGAAGTATCTTCTTAGGCTCGAACAACATTAACAACTGCTTCTCATTTGCGTTCGATTTTGAATTTTCGAAAATGAATGCTATAAATTCTGGAAGAATTTCAGAAATATTTATTACGACTTATTTATTACGAAGTTAATAATTAGCAGGTACTTATCATATTATGAATGGAAAGAATGAAGACAGTTTATAGCTTTCATATAATGTACTGTGAATTAAATGTACTAAACGATTTAAAAAAAAAAAATAAATGTGAGATTAATTATTCGGTACCAGTGTGTGATACTCAACAAATGAAGAATGAAGTTGTTCTATTCAATAACTTCCCCTGTGAGTTTCGTTGGTACTGTAAAAATTAACTCCAAAGAAAATTGACTGACTTTTTACAGAGATGTAACTCTTGGACGTCTGACTACAGACCATCGTATTCTACTGCTCATATCAGAAGTATAGTAAATCCTCAATGAGTGTTCGAAGGCTCCTCGATACTGACAAGGAGAGGTCCACAGATATAACGCTGACTTTTTAATGACGTTTAGCATAATGATAGAGCTTGGAATTCTGAAGCCAACGATATTTGTTTCAGTCGCATTAGTTTATGAAATATTTAATATTCAGTGCCGAGGAGCTTTCGAAAACTCATCGAGGATTTACTGTAAGCGTTATACTATGTACCCACAGCAATGTCCAAAAAATTAACGTAGTGACACTCGAGGTACCGAAAAGAAACGTGTCGCGCAGATAGATCAGCGAGATTCGATGAAATATTCGAACACCGACGGAAGAACGAGGTTGCTCGATACACAAGGAAAACAATATAAAATCATTCATTCTATCTACACCCGGATGAAGTGTCGTTCACAATATCGAAACGGTAACACTTCACGGACGTTTTCGTTTTACACAGTCGGAAAATATGAGACGCTGTTAGGTAAGACGCGTTACGAATAGATTCGACTAGAGATTCCCCGATGAACGTCCTATCATACAATGCCATAGTATAGACGCGATCGTATAATTCGTAATCTTAACGGTTAGTACGATTATTTACACTAAATTGGTGTGTATCTGCCATCGAACAGGTAAAGACATTTGTACAGCATTCATTCCTCGATACGAATAATATCAGGGTACTTTCGTTAAAAATTAACATGGTCGATGATTTCGATTCCACCTCGAGTTACATAATATCTCAATCACACTTTCGTTCCCGTGACACGCATACTCGTCGAAAGGCTCGCTGGTCGTTCGCGATACATCGTACGGGAGGCATCGACGCGCGATAAAAGCTCGAATTTTCATAAACAGATCCTAAACACGAAATTCTTTAAATAAATTAAATCTTTCAATTAGCTGTATATCACCAAGATATTGAATACTTAATTTTAACCCTTTGCTGATGGGTGTCGGGGGCCAGAGTTGGGCACAATTTTATTCGAATTATACAATCTATAGTCAAAAGCAGCAGTATATAAGATCGTCATCCTAGCGTTTAAATAATTACGTAATGAAATAAAATAATTAATCATTAAGTGTCTACTTATTCAAGGAGAATTATTATTTTATTATAAAAATTGGAATTTCCACGTTTATTCAATAAAAAATGGCGAAATACTTTTTTTTTATCTTTTATTTGTTATTTTAAATGCTCTAGATAGTGACTTCGCCCATCTCTGTTGTCGGTAAACATTTGTCTGAGGATTTCTGGTGTTATTGCAGATGCATTACTGCGAATGAAGTCTTATTTGACTGGAACTGTACAGGTTAATCGAAAATATAGTTGAAACGTGGTGACTATTATTTATGCCGGTGATTATGAAAATGGTGTAAGTCAAGAATCAAAAAAAAAAATGTTGTTTTTCCCTCATTTTACGTCACATTGATTTACATTTCAATATAATTATAATTCAATATTATTATACAATATTATTATAATTTTCGAAACGAAAAATACATGATCTCCACCACTTTCATAATCACCTTCCCAATTTATCTATAATCTAGAGAAACACAGAGAACATAACCATAATAAACAAACTCTAAGGGTGACAATAAATAGCCGCCTGTCTACAACACCGTTCGTGACACTCTCGTGAACCCTTTCGATCTCGTTTTTTTTTCTCTAAAGACATCTGTTTCCACCGCGAGCGAACGGTCACAGAAGAGACAAAGGGCCATCGTCGCTTTTCTTCTTCGCCCGTTAATCCTTCCGCACGAACGATCGCCGTAGTCTCCCGCACGGTACAATGAATTCCCAGGCGAGCCTCGATTAACGACCGAACGTGTAGATCCTGCAGAGAGTACTAGTCGAAGAACTACCTTTCCCGCCTGTAGTTCGTGTCGCTCGTCGACGAAGACGATGGAAAAAGAAAGTCACAAACAAACAAACAAACAAAAATAACAACGAAGAAGTAGACGTATACACCGAAGTGAAGAGATGAGTTCCGTTCGTCTATAGGCCAGCCCAGTCGTGCTAGTTCGCGCCTCGTTGCTTTTCGTTCGACGTGATCGATCAGCGTCTTTTCAGTCCGTTGGATCGGACTCGGCCGTCGGTTCATCTCGATCATTCGGGGCTCAAGTCAACGGCGCTTTACCGACGAAGTGCCTGTACTTGTTGCACGCCGGATACTTGCCCTCCTCCGAAACGATCGACAGATTCGACTGCTCACGATCGCGACGGCACAGTGGCTTCTTCACCGGTTTTTTCGTGCCGTTCCCGCAGTCGAGGGCGTACCGTAGCTCGCTCGCCATCTCCGAGCACACGGACTTCTGGAAAATTTTTCGTGGAAATTTCGACCGCTACAGTCTGCTGTCCGAGAATCGTGGTTACCAGGGAAGGGACGGAGCTTCGTCAGCCAAATGCTATGACGCTAGTACCACGGACTAGTTCGTTGGAATCGTGATATCAAGTTTATCGACGTTATAACTTTTTATCGCCGTGTAACGCGCCGGCTGGATCTCGAAGTGACCGTTGAAACCGCGGGAAATTCGCGCAATCTCGCGCTGAAACGCGAAACTATGTCCCCGAAGGACTGCGACAGGAGTTGAGAGGACGTGATTGTCGACGGCTGGTCTTTTAGCTGCCTTCGAGCTGTGTCTGGGCGGTATCTTTTGTCTGGGATTTTTCATTTCTTAGGTTTTTGTTTTACAATACGCGTCATGACATCGAGCTGACTGCTTTGTTTTGGGGATTTTTTGTAAGCGTGCATTCATTGTACAGTATTAGGTTGTTGCATCGTAAACTGCTGGTTTTTTGGACTGGAGAGTTTGAACAATTCTGATTTACCTTGAACAGAAAAAAATTTTAAACAACGAAAGTGTGAATCGACAGATTCTTACCATCGAGTCACAAAGCTTCTTGATTCTGTTGTTAATGATTCGTAGGTGGATAGAATGAAACGCGTTAAAAAATGATATTTAGTATGCAACAACCTGATACATATACTTTTTTAAAAGTTTTGACAGCTGCGAAGTGTAATTAGGGGGAATCAGGCTGAGGTGATAAGCATTTCAATTAGCAATTACTCTTGCAATTTTTATGTTTTATGATTTATTGCTCTATCTCTGATTGGATGTGCCTTGGTGTAAGCTGCATATGCATCTCTCTAAACAGGCGTTAGATTAACCAATTCGAAAAGAAACAAAATTATTTTTAAAAAAAGTGATCACTAAATGAAAAATATAAAATATTTTTAGACATTTAGACATATTTTAAATTATTACTTATGCATCTGTAAGTACTATAGTTTACCATCGTAAACGGGAACAATAATGAAAATGGAGAATATGTTAAGACCCTAGAGTCCTTTTATTCTTGTAGAGGATCAGCCATCAGTATATAATTACAACATTTATTCCAAATTTCGAAAGCACAACAATTTCAAACTTCTTCAGTAACTTAATGACTGATACACTTTTTTCAGGTGCTTTATTATATGCATTTATTTCCATGGTTTATAAAACACCTCATGCATCAATTTCCCAAAAATTATTATCGACTTTCTAAGAATTGAGTAAGAGAATTGATAATCTCCATTTCCACCGTTGCTTAAAGTAAAGCAAACATATATCTCGTAAAATAATATAACAAATTGTAAAAAGAACTCCGTTTAAAAATCCATGCTCTACGGTTCATTCAATTCCAGTGCTGACACGACAATTAGAAGAATGAAATACAAAAAAAATTGCTCACCTCCTGCGGTATCCGTGGCGGGAGAGAAAGAGAGGCAAGAAACATTGCGACACAACTAACAATGTCATACTAAACTGTCACACATCGTGCGCGTGTCCTTTCAAATCTTTCGTGATTCACTTAAACCCTACGTTTCCCAACGCGACCGTTTTCGATCACCGGTTGGCGGTGCCTCGGTCTTTTCTCACGTTAAATTTTATTCATCGAGTCGTTTCGAATACTTGCACGACACAAAGGACCTCGAAAATATAATAACAAGCTACGATGTTCAATGGTCCATATTTTATACGAAACATCTAGTAAACTCTGGAATATCAACGAAGAATTTCGTTACAGCAGCACAGAAAACACGTACCACCCGGTACATGACACGTATTTAAACACACAGAAAGCTACGTCCTTTTACAAAAAGGTCGAGTAAACATGTTCACAACATTCATAAACTTCATCGATCGAATAGAAATACATACAGGGTGTCCCAAAATAGCTTCGACTTCCGGGAATGAGGGGTTCCTGGGATGATTTGAAACACCTTTTTCCTTGACAAAAATATTATCCGAGGCTTTCTTAACTAAGATATTAACGAAAAACCCTGACCAATCAGAGCACGAGTCTGTCGACCGAGTTCATTTTTGCTAAGGAAAAAGTTGTTTCAAATCATTCCAGGAACCCCTCATTTCCGAAAGTCAAAGCTATTTTGGGACACCCTGTACATGTGATTTTAATTCATCGTCGAAAACATCGATACAGGTAAGAATAGACAGAGGCGCCGCCATACAGGTGAGATTCGTATAATACAAGCATACGAGCCCGGAACGTACAGAATCGTTAATCAAATAATGTTCTTTCGTTTCTCGCTATGGAATCCGTGGGCTTCTATACGCGAATTTGAAAATTTGTTCACGCGACAATTCTCTTTCCGGTTCTTTCAGAAACATACGGACTCCGTAATTATCGGTGGTATTGGTATTGCTAGCCACCCCTCGAGACTACACAGTATTTACATATACAATAAAACGTTTTGCAACCCGACGCTATACATTAATTATCTATCTCGGTATAAAATCGTGATTGTTCGTAAATATTCTCGTTAATTCTGCAGCACTTTTATATTCAGTCGCGGTCCGCGGCGGGGCCCTAGCCGCGTTTTTGTTTATTTTTATTTTTTTACAATTAACAATTCACCCGGGAGGGACTGTCCCTTCACGCTGCGAGGCTTGAAGTGATCGTCGATTAATCTAAGTGGTTTTTTGATATGAGCAAAATGGCAAACGCGTTGACCTTTCCAATTTCGACGCGCCATCTTGGTATCGTGTCGCGCGACGGCGTTGAAGAATAAAAATCACACACGAGCAAGGAAAACAATTCGAGGAAACCATTTAGACGCCCCCATTTCTTTGTCGTTGCAACGAGGACTTTTAAAGCATCCGTGTCTTATTGAATCCTGGTTGAAGTTTTCGGTATCGTCGACTAAAGCCCGTTTAATGAACGTGATCGTGCTTAAGACTGTGTCGGGCGTGATTCTAGTCCTCGATGAGGGGGAGAAAAAAACTGGAAAGGTCGAGGATCGTTGCTCCTTCTTTTGATTATACGTTTAGTTTCGACTTTCTACACGGTTCGTGTCCGTAAGTGTTTCACACGGTTCTCGATCACACGTGGCGGAATTCCTCCTTTAGGTCCATCGGGGTCAGTTACGCTTTTTTTCTCGGGCTTAGGAATCTGTGTGAGATTTTCTGTTCTTTTTCATTTTTTTCGTTTCGTTTTTGTTTCTGTCTTTGCGTTTTGCTTTCGGAGCGGGATTCGTTATACCGTCCGTTAGTGTAGATCGGTAAAAGCTTCGCAGATCGGTTTCCCCGAGGATTTCTGCTTCTAAAACAGAACAGCAAAATGCTCGGGTAAGATTGCGTTAGGTGAATCAGATCGATGAATCATATACGACGCGGTGGGAGACCGTGACGGTGAATTATCTTTCCGTGACAGTGATTATTCTTAGAAAATAAAAAATAACGTAGGGATTAAAAACAGGAGACTTTACGTTAGAAAGGATTCGGGTTTAATGAAGTTTATAAACCGTTTGACACCCAGGGGTCATGGCAGTAACTTTGTCGAAAAGTGCCAAATGGCGCGATCGCGCTGTTTTCATTTCATGTTGACGAGTGTCAAGATGTCGGTATTTCTTAATATAGCCGTCAGAATTTAAAGGAAAAATCGTTGGCCAAGATAAGATAAATTTTCTAACACAATATGTTAAGGTGTTGATAAAAATCCGAACGCACTGTCAATTGCAGATGTGGCACTTATCGACATAAAATCTGAACAGCGCGATCGCGTGGCACTAAAACGGGTAATATAAATGAAAATATAAACTTTGCAAGTATGGATGTGGTGGAAGATACTAAGACATTTTTGAAAAAAAGTTATTGATATTTAACTATGCACCTGATAACTACACTGGTCGTCTTTGAATACTACACAGATATTAAACAAACATTTAATCTTCAATACGGAGTCAATCTTAATTTCACAACGAGTAGTTTTGTTAACAAAGCTACAGATTTACCTCTCAAAACCAAGACAAGGCTGCAAATTTTCTGCGGTTGTATAATTTACAACTGTATAGAACAAACTCAAACCATTATGTTGAAGTTAATGTTTTTATATTACCCTAGTCGCAATGAAACTATCATAAAGAAACGAGTAAGGAAGCGACGAAATAATGTATTTTTTTTAACTGAATAATTATCATCGAAATGACTTCCATTACATTTCACAAAGACCGAATTTAACCGTTTAACGGTGTAGTATTCTCGAAACGACACCTCTTCAAATGTTCTTGATTGCGGGATATTTATCAATCCGTCCTATATAAAGGAAGAACGATTAGCAGTTTGAGAATCATGGAGGGTGTAGCATCGTGGCTACTCTGTTGCGGTCTGAAGTAGCGCGGTCCGAAAAGGGGGGAACAGCAATACCGACGTTTGTTGGCTTGCGGAATTGTTTGCTCACTAGGTACGCTCTGGGTCGCCGTCGCAAAGCTGCATATAGCCGTATTTGTGGACGAGCCCTTCTCAAATACTTGCCTGTTTGCTTACCGCTTGAATGTACGCAAACGGTAGCTCGAATACATATTGTAGACACGTGATCCCCTACGTATCGCGAGTTTCCCCTGGTTGCGTATTTGACGCGCCTTAATTTCATTCCAGCCGAGGAATTTTCCTCCTCGAGTGACTCTTAAGTTCACTGCGTGAAATTTCAGATTCAATTTTCCCGTAAACGAAGGATTGCTTGAAAAAATTCTACGGTGATTATTTCATTTATGTTTGATTATATATTATGACTTATTGGACACTCTGTATAGTCCCGAATTAATATCCGTGTCGCGAGTCCCATTCCAACGATCGATGATTTATATACGATTTCGGGGAGGTTCACAAAACTCCGACGGGAATGAACAGAGGAAGGAAAGAAAACAGAGCGGAAAGAAAGAAGGAAAAAATAAAGAAGGAAATTACCAGCGGTGAGCGTCAGTGAAACGGTACCTATAGACGCAAATAATTATCGTAAACTTCCCGGTGGAACAAAGACAGTTTACGCTCCAGTATCTTTTCACTCAACCCGGTGTTCCACGGTTCTTCCGACTCGAATGAAAGCAATAAAGGGTGGAAATACAGGAAGTTGGAACAATAGTATACGAATTAGAACGAGACATTTACACCAGACCTGGTGATCAATGATTTTTATCGTGGCATAGAATTGCTAAGAATATTGCGAAATCCATTCAACAACAAAGAAACGTTATTTTGCATTTGACAATTCACCGATCGAATGAACAGAGTGGAATAAAACAACGTTAAACGAGATAAAAGGCGTTTTAAAGGACAGGTAGTCAAACTTTGGGATTTTCTGTTGTACTTCGAGAATAAAATTTGATAATGTGATCACATGATTTTACACTTTTACTTAGGGTAACATTTTGCAACGATATTGAATTATTTTATTTTTTAATAAACTACATAACTTGTGTGAATATTATACTCTATAAATTCTCGCAGAATATATATCTCCGTATATTCTATTAATTCACTAAAACACCACTGCAAAGAGGAAACCTGTTTTAAATTTAAGAATGAAGTGATCCAAGGTGGGAAGAACGGTTTCCCAAAGCTTAATCACTGATCACTGAACTGGGGATTTTATGCAATTACAACTTATAGAGCTGCGTGAAATATAATAAACGACAAAAGTTTCCCCAGACGTAATAAATTTTCCATTGTATTCTCAACCAAATAAGAAGGAAGAAAAAATTCTTACTTTTAATCTTGTTTTCATGAATTATAAAATGTCATTTTGCATAAATATCCTCAGTCTACCGATCACGATAAACACCCTCCACAAATTGTAATAATAAATTAAAATTAAACTCGACTCTTCGATAATTTTCTATCATTAACAGAACCACAAATGGGATGTACTGTAGGGTTAAGAAATCCGTCTGGACGCTCCACGTTCGGGAATCTTTCATGATTCATCGATCGGACGGCAGGTACGATGATCAGACCCGAGTCGTTCTGTATTTGCCCGGTGACCATTAAAGAGGAACTCCACCATCGCGCGAACATCAACTGATGTATTCGCGGGGTATGTCGGGATAAATCGCGTCGGGATCGAGATGCGTGTTGGACGACGTTACTTCAGGCGCGATCACGCCCTCTTCGACGTGCTATCTGACCTCACTCACCCGTTCCTCAATGGCGACCTTCCGGCTTTTCCAGACGAACTCGCATACAGCGATCACGCACGCGATCCCCATCCCGCCCATCAGGACGACAAACACACCGCCGACGTTGGCGAGGCCCAGCTCGTTCGCCGTCGAGCTGCTCTTCGAGGTGTCGTCCTGCCGAGAATTACACAGAAATCTGAATATCATCTTAACCTTCTCAATACTGGCACCCTCACTTCGCATTGCTTGTTACAGACTCCTCTCGATTATCGTCTGGCTTGTTCTACACGATTATTGTCCAGGCGTTATCCCCACCACTGAGGGGCGTGGAACCTGTCAAGCGCATACATAGTTGCCCCTTCGATTTTGTTGCCGAGGTTCGGGTTTTGGGCAAAAAACGAATTTACGAGAGTCTGAAGCATTTCTCTCTATAAGATTATTGTCCCGGCGCAGACCCTAGTGCGGGACGATAATCGAGAGGAATCTGTAGAAATCTGTGATGTAGGATTATGTATTTGTCCCATGTTTCGAATTTTACCATACACTGTTAAATTATTAAATACCTATATTTCTTTAAATAGAACTTGACGTTAAGTACTAACATTAAGTCCGGTAGATAATTACAATGTTCATTCTATATCCAAGTACTGAATCCTTTTGAAACGAGTTATGAATTCAATTTGTGCACTCAAGTCAACTGTGCTGGTATCTAGAACTTCCCAGAAAATACCCTAAACCACTACATTGTCTCAGTATCAAATCTTTCCGAAAATCCGATGCCTCTAGCTCCTCGATCACAAGTGAAATAAGCTACCTCCACACACGTGTCATAATTCTCTTTAATAAAATGCAGCATCCCCGGTTTTCGCTTCCGGCAGCACCGTAAAACTGAATTCTCGGTCAACAAATTTCAGCGACGAACAGTCGCGAGAATTCAACCTTGCAGAATAATACCGGCAGATAAGAGCCGCATAATAGGCGACGGTCATGATTTCACGAATTTATGAAACTGTCTTCTCGCGGCCACGCTTCTACCTTGGTCTACCCCCCACCCCAACGTTCACTGTGTCCATGGTGGGAGGGCGGGGCGTAGATCGGGACGTAGGTGTCGTGGAGGGGATAAGAATTTCGGGCGACTTTATTCAGTATGCGCACCACCGTCGACGGGCATGGCTCGTGGGGCAAATAAAGTAGGGTGTGTTTGCATGCTCACCCTGCAGGATCCACCGCCGCGTTTCTCCTTCCACCAGCGTGTCTTCAGCAAGTGTAGCTTCCCCTCTTCCTGCAGCTTCAGAATCGCCCCGCTTATGGCCGTCCTGTACGGCGAATCTGAAGTTCCAAGGTCGTTTCCGTGAAACTCTGCCTTCTCCCTTCGTCTTCCACGATTTTCCAGACGGCTTTTATCGCGTGCGCGTGAAACTTTCTCGAAAAGCGTCGTCGAGGTTATCGTTTCTTCGTGCCCCCCTCCCCCCCGCCCGCTCCCTTGCCGCATAACTTTCTCCGTCTCTCTCAGGGGACCAATCGACGGTGCCGGTTTCCCGCGATCGCTTTCAGTTTTCCAACCACGACGTGACGCCGACAGGCCACATAAAGGGAACGACGCCACTCGGCGACTAAGTTCGGAGATGTTTGTCGGGGGAGGTACGTGGCTGTGCTTCGGAAAGCTTGCGGAAACCGCGGCTCTATGTTGCCGGAGCGGATTTATTGAAATTACCGTAAATCGTGGGAGGAAACTAGATGCGTTATACAGGGTGAGGCATCTAACTAGACGATTTCGAATTACTTGGATATTAGTTGCTGGACGAAGAAATCTTTTGAACAAAAGTTGCGTGGCGTCAAGGCGGACATGTGTTGGATAATTGTATTTTTTTTCCTAATTGGAGTCACATGGACATTGATTGCATTGGTTACACATGAAGGTTTGAAGGTCGAATTCATTATTTCAGGTGGAACACCCTATGTGTCTTTACGGAAATTAAATGGGTATTGTGTAATAATTACTTAAAAACACTTTGTCGCTCAGAAAGTAATTAATCAGTAATTTGAAATTGTAAATTTAGACTTCACCCTAGATAAAGTGTCTTGCGCCACGTTAGCTGAGCTATATCTCAACACATTGACTGGCACATCGCCCAAAATATGATTCAACCCCCAAAAGTGGGGTGACATTGATATCGGAATACAATTTAAAACAAGACCAACAATCTGTATTAACAAAACGCGTATATTTTCAACGATTTATGTCTTCAATAATTCGTGTCTGATTACGTTCGGCCTTTTTCACTGTGACAGTCAACGTGTTAAAACGACCGATACAAGAACATTTTCAGAATGCACTCGTTTGCATCGATGCAAGCTAAAAACCGCGAATTTCGTTACTGTTTCATGTTCCGTTGAAAGAACAGTAGTAAAGTATTCACAACTTTTGATTCCGTTCAGATCGTATGCAGGCGTACCGAATTAAAAACACAAGATTCGTGTGTTCGTATCTCGCGCAAAAACACAGTCACCTAGCATTTTAGATCGTAGCATTTTTCACCGTTCCGCGAGATGCGCGTCAATCACGTGCTTTTCACCGGAAAGCAAAATATTCACCAAAGTAAATCGTTCTCGCGATCCCAGCCCGTAGGTAGGGAATTGTTTTAAACTCCCGTCGAAACGGACCGGGGAATCGATGCCCTTCTAATTCCCTTCCCTTCCTCTGCGCCCCATAAATCCGTACAACGAACATGAAAAATTATCTTTCCGATTCGACGTCGTTTGCCCTGGATACCATAAATCACGGATACACTCACGTCGATCGGCCATCTCTATCGCTCGAGAGCTATTTGAGCGCGTATAATCGGCCTAACCGTGGGTCTAGGTGACGAGTTTATATTACGGTAAGCTCTGGGGTAGTGTTATATACACCGTGTGTGTTACATAAAGTACACGGTGTCGTGAACTGTACGTATACACGTCGTGGGTATTTCTGTGACGTGGGAGCACTTACTAGGCGGCATGGCTATGCCATATCCTTTCGAGTCCAGGAGACCGCCGACTTGGGTGAGGTCGCAGTTCCTCTCGATTACGTATTCGATAGAGGTGGATTCCATTAGGAACGCGTAGCTGCCTTTACCCTTGATCACTCGCTCCACGCCCTCGACGTTGCTCGTTGTAAATACCGTCGGTTTCGCCGAATCCATGAAGGACCACATGCGCTGGTACGTCGAGAAATTGGAATCCTAGATCCAGCCAGGGGAATTTCATGGTCGGATACGCGTGCCATTAAACGATGGAACGTATATAGTACACAGGTCGGGATTGGTTAATCTTCAAGGAGTCCTATTAGAACGCCGTGCACGCCTGTCTGCGAGCCCATGGAAACTACCATGGCTCGACTAGTGCTGTAAGCGATCGATAACAAGGCATTTCGCGCTTTGCAATTTCATTTTTGGCCCTCCCATCACCAATCGATTCGGTCTCGACCCTCAAACAGCCTTGAACTTTGAACTCTGAACCTTGAAGATTGACCATTCGCGCTGAATAATATTCAAGGTGTCCCACCTAACGTGAGCACCTTCGATATTTGACTCGTTTTTGAAGACACAAAATAATGCGAGGGGAAAGTATTATTTGGTTAGAAGGAGCAAATACTACGATAAGCAAAACTTTTTCTCGAGGTCATATTTTTCGAAATTTTAAGACCATTGATGTTTTTTTAAATGGGACTATATATTTTTATTATTGTGGTGTAATAGTGGAGTGAAGACGAAAAATCGACAAATGTGAGGGAGTAGATTTAAATAATGAAATAACTGCGATAGAGGGATTAGTGCAGAAATGTGGAGAAGTTGATGAACGTCACTGAGTATTCGTTAAAATAAATTTTTTGCAAATCGGAAGCCAGTGAGATATTTAAGGTGCTCACGATGGGTGAGGCCTAGACTAAGTGTAGTAAATAAGAATATAATAAATAAATTGTAATTCTGGCTACTAAAAATGTTACGAGTTTTACGAACACCCAATATATACATACGAATGTGTAAAACATAGTAATGTATGGGTTAATATTTACTAAAATCATTAATCAAATAAACTTTCTTCTGGGAAAATAGAGTGAATGGTTTAGGGTTCCAAAATAAGCGTAGAATACCACGTAAAAATATTTTCAGTAATAATTCTAATGAAAGATAAGTATGTAGAAATAAGTATATGCTCTTCGAGTATTCTACGCAGCAAGTTTCTCCCATAACTACCACTTCAAATTCATCGATAGGTTATTCAGGCGAATTGTCTGGTATCGGTACGGGGCTCAATACGACGATTACGTGGATGTTTGTACAGAGTTCATAAGATATTCATGCGATCTTACCCTGAAAAAGGCTGCGGTACTGCCTCCTTTGAGAGCGCCGTATTTGATTTTCGTCTGCTTTGCGAGATCTTCCGCGCTCTCGATCGGCGAATCCATCCTCTCGACGGTGAGGAACGCGGCCAAGTTGGCAGTGTACGAAGAAATCATGATCAAAGTGAAGAACCACCACATACCCGCCACTATGCGAGTTGACACGGCCCTGCGAATAGAATTTGAACGGTGCAGAGGAACCTCGACCCGGGTGAAATGGAGAATCTGTTCTCCACGAGCGAATGTGAATAGACTTTTGTATTCGTTTCAATACTAAATCGACTTTTCGAACACTCTGAGACATTGTCAAGCGGAAGAAATACGTACTATACTTCATTATTCTCAATTGATTGTACGTATACCTACTTGAAAATCTTTTACAGTTACATAAAACGAATCAATCGTGGTATAAAAAAAGTGATATACTTTAGCACTAGCCTATTTCTTTTCATCAATTAATTTGGCTGACCAAGATGGGGAACACAATTCGATCAATCAAGAAAACACGTGATTGATCAGGAGAAATGCGCGATTTTATATGATGGTTTTTTAACAAATAAATAGTAGTTCATTATTTTTCGATTCGCATTTGTGTGTCGTACTGGTCTCAAGCTCGATCAGTCAAACAGTCTTCAAGAATACTCCAAGCTTCTACGTCCTATCGTGTCATGCATCTAACTAAACTAACACGTTCTACGCTCCTAAGAAGTATCTACCCTAATGTAACAAACATGACAAAAAAAAACCAAGCGTAAATCCTACTAAATAAGAAACGATGATAACGACTCGAGGGAATAGGGGCTGCTTCGTGGAGAGTATCAGAAGACAGAAGCGTTCTATGTCGTCTTTCTCGTCTAACGTGTAGCGAAAGTCTGTCGAGTGTCACGATTAAAACGCGTCAGAAGTAGTTGCTGCCTTCCTCGAACAATCAAATTAATTCGAATATAAAGATATTCAAGGTGTCATGCATCTGGTGGTACAATGGGGTTACGTAGAAGAACAGGTCGAGAATATAGAATACAATTTTGCACTAGAGACTTCGTTTTCCAGAAAATCGACTTTGACAATTAATCTGAAACGCGTGTATTCGTCGTAGTACACTAAATCCTCGACGAGTGTTCGATGGTTCCTCGGCACTGACAAAGAGAGATCCCCAGGTGTAACACTGATTTTTAAATTAGGTTTATCACGATGATAGAACTTAGAATTCTGGAGCCAATGATATTTGTTTCAGCCGCATATGGCCATTACTTTGTGAAATATTTAATGTTCAGTGCCGAGGAGCCTTCGAACACTCATCAAGGATTTACTTTATCTAGTAAATAGACATAGACCGCAATAAACAGATTTGCAAATACAATTTTCTCAAAAACGAAATTTCAAATAGAAAAATTCTATATTTTCGACATATTTTCTCACGTAGAATCACCCCTACCCTAATGATTATACCACTATTTACATGAACCATGTATATTCAATTTCGAACTCGGTAGACATTATTTCCTAGAACATTCTAAAGAATGACTCGCTACTCAGAATGCCGAAAACCGTTCACGACTTGGTCTCAATCTGTGATTCCGTGGAAAGTTTCGCGGTCCCCATCCCCTAACTCGTACCAAGACCATGTCACGGTAGCTCTCCGGAGTGCAGCAACAACTTCCATTATGCGAACTGTCGTCGCTGTAACTGGCGACGAGGCATAGAGCGTTAGCGATAGCAAAAGCGCACGGCCGGCGTGTCCCGGCACACGATAGAACGTGATCGGTTGCAGCAAGCCTACGATATAGCATATCCAGGCTATCGTTACACAAGAGTAGCACCTACGACCCCGTATCCCGTCTTCCTTCCGCCCCTTAACCCTCTGAACTTCCCGTCCACCCCTCCATACACCCCACAGGTGAACCGTCCGCAGACCGGTTAACTAGTTCGAAGCGAGAGTTCGGAGTTCGAAACACGTCTCCATCGACAGGGACACCATAAATGGACCCGACACGGGATTTCCACGGAATACGCTGATGTGTTCCTTCGATGACTTACTTCGGCGCTATATCAGAGCCTTGCTGCATGAGCGAGCCTATGGTGAACCAGAGCGAGTTCATCAGGGTGAACTCGTTCTCGAGGACCTCGGACTGTCCGTTGCACGGATGGGGATTCTCCCACTCGTAGGGGCTGAACCTGCGGACACGTGAATGGAGAAGGGGAAGGATTAGACGTCAGAGTCGCAACGTGCGCGGTGTGGACTCGTGCTTTTGGAGCCTCTCGTGAACGACGCGACGATTTCGCGAGCATTGCTTTCGAAGAGAGTTGTAATGAGTTCCGTGTACTGAGCGTTTGCTGAGAAGTTGGCTAGGGGCGAATGGGGTAAAGCCAGATTTACACTAGCGGTCACGGAACGATCAGATCACGTCAAATTAGGTAGCGGGATTTATTACTTATATGTAATCCAGTGAGAGAATTGTAGTTTGAAGTCAGACTGAGCGTGATCTGCAGTCTTACAGTGCACTGGCGACACTCTGGCAAGGAGAGGGCTCGAGATGACCCTTTGGGTTTTCGATACGCTTTTGCAGGATAGTAGTCGAGGCCCTTAGATAGATTTTGAAATATTTAACCTCAGTAAGTAGCAATATTTCTATCATAAGAAGAAATAATACTTTAAATTGTTTGAAACTTTTGGCCGATAATGCACGTCTTTTGCATTTAATGATGGAAAGAAATGTCTGAATTACACGGTTTGCAGTGTTCGCTTAGTTTCTGTTCCGATTCAATTTTCTTAAGGACACATAACTCTTGGATATCTACTTTCATTCATTTTCAAAACGATAATATTACTTTATAAGGTAGTCCTCTAATTACAAACATTGCGAATAGCAGTACAGACACTGAGAAACAATATTTTTTGTGGCTAATAGAATGTGTTATTGGAACATATGAATTGTTAATGGAATAATGTTGTCACAGGGAAAGATCGAATGCAAACATACAGATTGAGATATCTTGTATCTACGTGTTTTTTCAAGTCGTAGATGTAGCTACCACTCTGAGTATCGCTGTTCGCTCGCTGATCGATATTCACTAGTAAATACTACCATTACGTGGAGACTGGTATGGAGACTTCCAAACTTTCAATCCCCGGAACACATTATTCCCTTATCTAAAGTTTTATGAATGAAATGATACATCTCCTATTAAGATATTCCCAGAAGAAAAAATGAAAATGTACCTGTAGGTACACTGACATCGATTTAATAACAGAAACAGAACATCCTGTTTTCATTATTCCTTCATTTTTCTTCGTAAATTAATCTGCACGATAATCAGTAAACTTTAATTCAACCTATTACTCGACCACTTTCTCTCCGTGGAAATGCCGAGGATGAAGCAGGAAAAAAGAGAAGAACAAAAGTTTATAGAAGAAGGAAGGAAGTTTAATTTGTAGTTTCCCTTTTCTTAATTGCATTTCTGATTGTCCCCTTGAATCTTTATAACGTTCTCGCTTGCTGGCTTGTTTTGCAGTATCGGCGGTACACAAAACGAGGAAAGTCCTACAACTCTCTTGTGAAAACTCTCTCGTCGAACTAAAGGAATCACTATATAATACTTTAGACTTTAGACAGCCGTAGAGAATTCATCTATACTTGATCCCTTCGAGAACCACAGAAAACATCGACATCGAATTATGATTCTTTTGAGGTCAAATAGTAGTTTTGTTCCGAGTTAAAAACAACGATAATTCATTATTGGTCGTCCCTCTCGTTTAAGTGGGAACACCACTGTGACGGCCGGAAAAACAAACCTTTTTTAAGAATTTTTTTAGGAATAATTTACAGTGTTCCTATAAAACTTTTATTACCCAGTTTTAGGACAATGTCTTAAGATATTTAAAAAGAAATTAATAGAAAAACATGCAGAAATTTTAATATACGTTTAATCTTCTAGACCCCTACATACTTCGCTAGCGGGGTGTTTAACTTTGAAACAACAGTTCTGAAATCAAGTGTAAACAATTTTTTATAAACTATATGAGGCTAGTTAGAAAAATGTTTCGAGAAAAATTCGGTTAAAGTTTGACAAGAAATTATTTATGTAATCGAAATGCACTGTATCTTCGTAAATTCTTCGAATATCGATTTTTAATTTTCAGATACTCTTTTTGCAGAGTTAAACTTTAACCCTCATCCGTCCCTCATTTTCACAACTTAATCTGTCCCTCGGTGTCAAATTGACCGAGTGGTGAAAATGAACACAATGAAGTGATAAATAGTTTTTGCAAATTCTTTACAACAGAAATCACGAAGCCTCAGATAAATTTACTTACACATGACAGAATTGTGTCATTTTTTAAGAGAAAACTGTATCAAATTGACACAAGGAACGGATGAGGGTTATGAAAATTCATTTAAAAGATTTTTTTTTAAGTTTCACAGTGGTGTTTCCCTTTAAGAAAATGCTTTCTCTTTCCCCGGATTTTCAATTCTCATGGTCGGAGGGAGGAGGCGTTCTTCATTCACGAGAGACTACAACAGTGCCAAACATCCGGTCCTCCCCGATCGGTACAGTTAAAGGCGGTCTCGCGAATCCGTCCCGTTGAATAATTCATCCGCGTTCCTCGTTCGCGTAGTACACCCAGGGTCCGTAGGAGTGTGTTTCGCGGGTTCGTGGACAAGTAGATCGCTACGAAAGTGGATCATTAGTTCACGTCGTCGATCGTCGATTTACATGCGTGTATTCCAGTCGACGATACACAGGGTTTACACAGGATGACGTTGATGGTGGTGTGGCGCGTGGATCGGTGCAGCAGCGCGGCGGTATGAACCGAATCAGCTAAAAGGGTGGACACGACGAAGTGAAGTGAAACGAAAGAAAATAAAAAAAGAAAGAAGAAAGGAAACGAAAAGGAGAAAAGAAATACAGACGATACAATAAACATAGGTAGAAAAGACGTTTAAGCGGACCGATGATGCCAATCTAACGGCTTACTTGGGCAGAATGTCACAGCCCTGCCGCATTAACGATCCGATGGTGAACCACATGCAGTTGAGCAGCTTGAAGCGATTCTCCAGATGGTCCGGGTTTTTGTTGCACGGATGAGGATTGTACCACTCGTACGGGGTGAATCTAAACTGATCAACTCTAGAGAACGCTGTGATCCATTTTCAGCCGCGTTGCATCTGTCTTTTACCCCGGTGGTACCGATCGATCGCCATTTACGTATGAAGATTCGCCCGAGCCGTCCTCGAGAAAAAGAGGACGAACGGAATGCGACAAGTCCACCGGTCTTGGACCCCCTCTCTCTGTTTAGCCGTTCCCCACGCCGATTTTATTCGGTTTTTTTTTTTGCTCGTGATACTCACTCGCGACTGGACAGTGAAATTAGAGCTGGTGAACCGATGGTAAGGATTGGCTCGCGAACTATCCGTGAATATTTACTTATCGTGGAGACTTGTCCAAGATACGGTTTTAATTTTTAACCATTGGGTCGTAGGTTGTCGCGTCTGCATCGATCGATCAGTTTAATGTTTGTATTTAGCTGCGGAGATCTTGTACACGTGAGGAATTTATGAGAGTTTTAACACGACAGGGACTTATTCCTATCGGTGCAATACTTTTTTCAGGGTAGAGGGGAAGGTAGGTACACTTGCCTGGCGAGTATGAAGAGCAGCACCGAGACGCCCAGATAAGCTGTCGCCATATAAATCCAAACGTCCAGGCTCAGAGGACTGAGGAACGAGAATAGATTCGGCGGTTGCTTTATGGGCTTACGGTACAGTATGCTGATACCTGAAAGATACAATTTTATTCTTGCGGCTTGTACATTTGGGTAGAAATGATATGGATCCTCGTGTATCGATCTGAATATTAATGTACACGCAGAATGGTACCGTGTGGACCATTTGGGTAATTCTGGTAGAGATAGATCATGTGGTTTAAAACCGTCTAAAGCTTCTTTCAAAGTACCGAATATTAGACTTGCTAGTCTGTGGACTGAACTATCTTTTCTAGAACCTGTAATTACCGTAATATATTTAGAAATAGCTATGGGAATAAGTTAATTTGTGGTTGTATATCTCGCCCATACTATTAAGGAAAAGATGGACTACTTGGATGAAAATTATATTCTTTCATGAAATTAATTTGCCAGAAACTATTTTTGTAGAAAAAATTGTTTTTATTAAGGAAAAAGATATTGAAATACTAAACACTTATAAACGGTGTCAACATTTTCTCAAACAACAGTGTGATAATAATTCCTATGGCTAAGTACAAAATGATTACTCTTACGAGAATAGAACTATGGTGTACAGTTCACAGACTCGCTCGATTACAATAATTATAACAAAGAACACTGTAATGTTGCGCATTTGACGAATAGCTTGGAAACTACTTACTTAACTGGTCTGTCTCTCCCGGTGGTCCATCTCTACCTGAATTACCCTAAGTTTAGTTATTAGGTTATTACATTATAACAGATTGCAGTTTGGTAGAGAAGTTTGCAGGTGCATTCCAATATTATACATCGTAGCATGATTCTTTTTAATTATAAATAACAGTGAAAAGTTGAGTAATTTTAAATGCCATCGACTTTACAACTCTGTTGTTTATTGTTTGAATAATAAAATATGAAATTAAATAGAAAAATAAACAAAAAATTAAATTTTTGAAGGTAGCCTTATATTCTAAGTGGAATGTATAATTTCTGTGAATCTCATTAATTGACACAACGCTGCGCGAATCTTCAAGATCTACGTAATATAAACATCAAAGAAGTAACATGTCCTTTGCATGTTATATATTGTATAACACATATCTGACTCGATTTAACCGATTTATGGAAGGAGGGCACATAAGCCTATGTCACTATTATTGTGACATTAAAGAAATTTTATTATGAACGAAAAAAGAAATGCACACTTCGCGTTCAAGCTAATAAATTTTCTCCAAAACGAGTATTTCACATATTCTGCTGAAGAATCTTAAATACTGCGATTACTTCGAGCAGTGTGTTCGTATAACCAGAAACCACTGGAACATTCCGCGAGAATGAGAAGATTCGGGCGGAAGTATTTACCGAAAAGGAGACCATAAATTGCTCATCGATCCAATTCGAATCTCCGCAGACAGAGAGACGGCTTTAAATTTTCCATCCGCATGGGTGCTGCCGCGCGAATCTTTCTTTCATTTTCCGAAATCAGAGGCAGAGCCGCCGTTAAATCAATCCCTCGGGCCAATGAACGACGGGGGTGGATCGTGGCCCCTGATTAAACAGATCGCTCACCTAGGTTCATGAACGGCATGGTAAAGTCGACCGCCTGCTCCCGATCGTACGTGATGGTGAGATCGGCGATCGCGAGATCCGCCTTCTGATCGAGCAGTTCTTTCATCATCCCGTCCCACTCTTTCGTTTGCTTGTTGTAGGACCCGTACCGTCCGTCCGGCACCAGCCGGAACGTGTAATTGAACCCGAGGATCCTCGATATCTCGTAAATCAAGTCGACGCTGTACCCCTCGAACTGAGCGTTCCCGGTGAGTTTCTCGCTCGAGTCCTTCCTCATGCAGTACGGCGCGCTCTGCAGGGTAATGAGCTGACGTCACAAGTCGGAATATAACCGCGAACCGTCTATGCCCGGTGTTTGTACAGAACCGGTACGCTTTAAACCGGCCGCGTTAATAACGTCTGAAGACGACTCTGAGAGACATACATGGTGGGGCAATAACTATGTCCACTTTGAATATTGCTGTTATTTGTAATAATATGAAAAAATGTTATATACAAAACTTACACGGTATAGAGGGGGGCATATTGTGAGACAGACATTTTTTGCGTGGGTGAAGGCATAGAGGAGATTTCAAGGTTATCTCCCTTTTTTTTTAATGGAATGCTATATTTTTTTTATCGCGATGTGATAGCCGGCGTTGAGACGATTTCAGCGAGTTATCATTGAAGGTCATGCAAGGTCAAATGTGGTAGTAAAATAAACTTTCTTATATTACAGGAGATGCTCGAAGTGGTGACCGTTTGCGTCAATGCAAAGTTGCAATCTTCGTATCGCTGCTTAGTGACTTATATTTAACTATTATACTGAACTACTTATACGTTAAAACAGCAGGGATTTGGGTCCTTTAAGCCTTTAAGTATTTCGGTGGTAAGACAAGCGCCCAGGGACGGCCAACCTATTTTGGTAGTAGTAGTTGCTGGAAGCCTTGAGGTGTATGTACACCAAAACGGGCAGATGAAATATAAATTTATTATGTTCTTAAATAATTTTACGTGCTATGAAGAAAAAAATATTTGAATTTTTAAGGGTACAGGAAGTATGTCAGACGTATGGTGAAAGGATGTGTGGGTATGGTAAGGGGGACAAACAAGTACCAATTTAGCGGCTAGTACCCTCAAGGGTATCACACAGCACACCAACTGAGAGGGTCACACCTAAAGTCACTATAGCTCATGGCCTGAATTATGCTATCGTTATTTTTTACCCCAGTTTTTATTGCGGACACTTGAAAACTGTTCAAACATGTTCTTTTATTTTTTATTTCTTGTATCCTTTTATTGAAATAGCTACATACGGTGTCTCTGAATGCTGGCACTATGTTATAGTATCCCAGGGGACTTCCAAGAAGTAGTCAATTCTTATAAGTCGAAACCAGTTTCTAAGCACGTTGGTTCATAGCAGTATTTTATTGCAATATAAGTGGTACTAGAAAGTACAGTCAGGACATAAAGGGTTAAATCAAGTTTTTAGAAGCAATTAATTTTTGCCGTAAGAATCCATTCCGTACCAACACTGTAGTCAAAGAAACATTGATCGAATTCATTACCCAACGTTGGCAATTCAAACTTCTGTATTTTCATTTCCTCCGGAAAAATCGTTCGTTCCACATCTATTATAATCGTGTCACAGTACAATTAAAACTTGGGATATCAAAGAGGATGGCTATACAGTAAATCTCCGATGAGTGTTTGAAGGCTCCTGAACATTAAATATTTCATAACCTAATGGCCATATGCGTCTGAAACAAATATCAATGGTTACAGAATTCCACAGTCTATTACACCTGGGAAACTCGCCTTGTCAATGCCAAGGAGCCTTCGAACACTCATCGAGAATTGAGAAATTTCTCTAGCTTCAAATAGGTATTATGGCAAGGGGTTAAACAACTACGTTATTTTCAGTGGTCTGAAACAATCTTCCATACACTTTTTAAGTGTATCTTCACATGTAATTGAACATCGAGTGAAGAGAGGATATCGTGACGGCCGATTTTCAGCGCTCTACCCTATAGATACGCGTGGCAGCCCGGCACGTATGAACCCCGTGGCAGGCACGGGGATCTGAATACGTGCGCGGATGAACGTGATTGCTGAACCAATAGAATCACGTGCAGGCCGCGTGAGATCGCGTGTGTCGGGCTGCATATTCGCCTCGTATGTGGAAACCGGCCGTTTCGGCAAATATGAAAATTCAGAACCCTCCGCGGCTCCTTTCGCGCTCAGACTCTGCTTAATTAACGCGACCGTGATTCACGCTGGGCACAAGGGATAGAGGAATGGAATATGCATCGAGTGCGGGAGTGCTTGCAATTAAAAGGCCCGTCTTCCGTTTCGGAGGATCTTCATTCGCTCTCCATCGATCGAAAAAAAATGCATGAATAAATATAAAACATCGATGGTGTTTTTCTAGCAGAAAGAGAAAAATTGGACGGTATGTCTGTACATCTAACGGGATTGAAAATATATTATAATACTTCAGGTACTGATCATATGTATTTCGAAAAATCGTTCATTTATTCAATGTATGTTTTTTCAGTATTCTATATGCATTGTATAGCTTCTACAGTATTCTAATCACTATATAGTCATCATTATTAAAACTTTGATGTCGAATGACGTAGTAGCACCGACTAGGTATAGAATAGACCTATCATCCAATACTTTTTTCTGTCCCACGTTCATAGGGCTACGTAACCCTATTACAATTTTAATGTCAATACCCGATGTTAACGATGAAGCATGAATTCTGAGTATTATTAGCACATTGGAGAATGAATAGTTTTACTGCCTATTGTAAGAATCTTAATACGCACGAACAATTACTTTCTGGCAATTGGTAAATTTTTACATATTAATTTACTTAAACGTTATTTACTTACAAAAATTTTATTTATTGCGAGTAATTAAATAATGAACGTATGTTAATATTCAGCTACGTGTCTCTCAAATTAAGTGAAATACAGAAGTTTTATTTTCTTGAAAATTACTGTCAAAGAATGCAGCAACTGGTCAGATTTGTTTCGTAAATAAACCGAAACCCTGTATCGGCACACTGTTTTTTAGGCTATCAAATATCACACGGAGTCTTTTAGGAAATAGTAAAATCTTTTACACAAATTCAATGAAATACTTTCAGGTACCCAGTTTAGGACTATGAAATTAGAATGTTCCAGAAGGTGCCGGAAATAGTCGGAGGGTGCGAACGGGAGAGAGCGAGAGCGGCAAAGCGAGCCGCGGTATCGGTGCTCTCTGTCGGTGTTGACGCGTGCGGAGGAATTTCAGGGGTCTATAGGGGGATGTGTGCGTGCGAGAGAGTACGGTAGAGAGTGCCGCGGTATCGGTGCTCTCCGTCGGTCCAACGCGCTAGTGAAGTTGCGTCACCCAGTTTATTGACCTAGCCGTGTACGCCGTGTACCATAACCGTACCTGGCTGAACCATCGGTGTTTGGGTCGTTCAAGGAAGGTCGTTCAAGCCGGCAAAAACAATTCAACACGAACAAACCTGCGTACGCCCAATACATAACGGCGTTAGCTTCCTCACTTTCTCGTGAGCCGTCGCGGAGGGTGGTCGCGCGTCTCGTACTCGTCCTTTCTCTTGTTACTAACCCATTTGTTTGTTGCAGGCATTCGACAACCATCAATTTATTTATTGTGCATATTGTTGTGTCCCCTCTCTTGTTACTAATCCCTTGTATGTTACAGATGTTCGAGAACAATTGGCTTCGATATTTATCTTCTTATGTACTGTGATTCATTTACTGTGATTTATTTACTGTGATTTCTATACTGTGATTTATTTACTGTGCATGTTATTAATCTATTTACTGTGCATATTGTTGTGTCCCCTGTCTTGTTACTAATCCCTTGTATGTTACAGATGTTCGAGAACCATTGACTTTGATATTTATTTTCTTATGTACTGTGTATTGTATAATGAAAAATATTTTTCCAAACAGTTATTCCATCGAAAGAAGACATCGATCAACGTCTACATCTTCAAAGCGTGCGTCTACCACTGCGTTAAGTTACTGTAAGTTAAACTTAAATCATAATTCGATATTCATTGTTATATTCATATTCATC